GCCGACTTAACTCCCGAAGCAGCAATCCTGACTGCACGGGCTGAACTTCATCACTCCCACCAACACGAGCAGACATCGTCAGTGGTTGGCAGGGTGGCACAGTGGCGGCAGCAGGAAGGACCTGGGTTAAATCCCTGAACCTATCTGTGTGGAGTTTGTACGCTCTCCTCCTGGACCTGCGTGGTTTTCCTGCGAGATATTTGGTTGTTGACCAAACATCCAAATGTAGAATCCTCCTGGAAAAAAAAAGATTTATACTCTGTGTAACTTTCCTGGGCGAATACATCATATATTGTTATATGCACATGCATTGTCACCTTGAATTATAACAATTCTATCTGGATTCGAATGAACAAAGGTCCACTTCGCCTAGATCAGCGTTCTTCACTGCAAGGCCCGCGGGCCACTGGCGGCCCCTGGTGGCCTTTAGTGCGGCCCCTGACAATACACCACGTGACAACAGCCCCTCACGCTGTCAGACACAACAATGGTTTCACATGTGTGGCGACCCTCACACTGACGATGTCTTATCGGCGACAGTGCCCCCCCACCCCCCCCCCCCCCCCTCTGAAAATGTGTGAAGAAGACTGGGCTAGATGATGGTAGAGTATTAGTCATGTTTAAGGTCACATGGCAACACATAACAGGTGGGCCACCGCTATAAGGTTCCGGTGACCCAGCCATATACCCCCAGAGGCAAGCAAAATACGAGTGAGGGTGCACATGTTCGTGCCAATGATAACCAACCTACCCATCATCAACCAAGGCCTCAACTGTGCACCTCGCCACCACCGAGCCAAGTCCCGATCCCCCTTCTGGGATCGCCTTTGCGCCATCCTCACACAGATGCGGAAGGACTCTGGGGATACAGAGAAGAACAACACAGACGTCCAAAATAAACTCCTCATTCGAGACCCAAACGTTACAACCACCGACTGGCTTTGACATTCCTCCTCGTAGACACCGGTAGCGTAGCCATCAGCCGTATCAGAACATCAACAGTCAGATGCGCACATCTCCTTCACGAATGGAACATTAAAGACAAGCCACATCCATGCGATTGTGGCCATGCAACACAAACTATGGACCGTCGAGTAAACCACTGCAGTCTGCACTCATTCAACGGAGGAATAGCAAATCTACACAAACTCTTACCCCTACAGCTCTCTCGGTATGGCTATCAGACTCAAACATTGGCATGTTTTAGCTCCTGAACATATTTACATCTTCAAGATCACAATAATTATTTTAAAAAAATATTTTACCAGGTAAGGCCCACTGAGCTATATATAGCTCTTTTACAGAAGCGACCTGGCCACAAAAAGTAATATCTCAATGAAGTGGATTCTCACGTGCAAATGTGAAACAGTGGAATACTTTGAAAGCATGTTTCTAAACGTGGAGGGAAACCCCAGAGGACCCGGAGAAAAATCCACGCGACCACGTGGAGAACACGCAAACTCCAAATATATACAAAACAGGCGTCAGAGTCGGGATCAAACCCACGACCTCCTGCATACCAGGCGAGGCAGTTAACATTTCGCCACCGTAACAAGTCTATGATGGGGAGGGTAGAGGTGAGGGAGAATTGTCAGACCTCAATGTTTAATTCTATTTTTGCGTGGCACAGTGACGAGGTGGGCTGCCCAGTTTGGGTGCAAAGTGCAAACGTCCACGCACGCTGCTGCACAGTGTCCCATTGTTGTCACCGCCAGTCATGGATCGACCAGCGCCGAACCACGTACATCGTGTACAAGGAAGCTCAACATCGACGGCAACTGATAAAAAGTTTTTGTATTTGCATTTCACAGTGCTGCATCATTCCTCCGTCGAATGATAAGATGGCGTTGAGACATTGGTGCAAAGTCAATATTCCTATGACGGGGGTCAGATGATCCATAGGATATCCAATATTAATATTGACGGATACACTGTTAATAATGGAGTAATGTACATCTCTTTGTCAGGCTATTTCTGGATGACGGCCTCAGTTGAAGGACGGGAAGCTGCGCTGCCCTGTGATGTGTTGTTGCAGCCCTTTGTCAATCCACTGCTGGATGAAGGCCTCTCCACGCCGTGTTGGAAGTGGGAGTCGTTTGACGATGCTCCGTCACGGTGGTCAAGTGGTGGTTGATGAAGTGGGAGGGCAGTGTCCGTTCTGCCGTCTCTCGCCACTGATGACAGCCGTTTGCTTGGGATACACCGTCGGTGGTTGGTGGCCGGGTTTGTGGTGCACAAATCACGTGACCACCACTCCTACAACACCTCAAATGACGTGACCACCACTCACACAGCACCTCAAATCACGTGACCACCACTCCTACAGCACCTCAAATCACGTGACCACCACTCCTACAACACCTCAAATCACGTGACCACCACTCACACAGCACCTCAAATCACGTGACCACCACTCCTACAAGACCTTAAATCACGTGACCACCACTCCTACAGCACCTCAAATCACGTGACCACCACTCCTACAGCACCTCAAATCACGTGACCACCACTCCTACAACACCTCAAATCACGTGACCACCACTTCTACAGCACCTCAAATCACGTGACCACCACTCCTACAAGACCTCAAATCACGTGACCACCACTCCTACAGCACCTCAAATCACGTGACCACCACTCACACAGCACCTCAAATCACGTGACCACCACTCCCACAGCACCTAAATCACGTGACCACCACTCATACAGCACCTCAAATCACGTGACCACCACTCCTACAGCACCTCAAATCACGTGACCACCACTCCTACAGCACCTAAATCACGTGACCACCACTCCTACAGCACCTCAAATCACGTGACCACCACTTCTACAGCACCTCAAATCACGTGACCACCACTCATACAGCACCTCAAATCACGTGACCACCACTCCCACAGCACCTAAATCACGTGACCACCACTCATACAGCACCTCAAATCACGTGACCACCACTCATACAGCACCTCAAATCACGTGACCACCACTCCTACAGCACCTCAAATCACGTGACCACCACTCCTACAAGACCTCAAATCACGTGACCACCACTCCCACAGCACCTCAAATCACGTGACCACCACTCCCACAGCACCTCAAATCACGTGACCACCACTCCCACAGCACCTCAAATCACGTGACCACCACTCCTACAACACCTCAAATCACGTGACCACCACTCCCACAGCACCTCAAATCACGTGACCACCACTCCTACAGGACCGGATGGACAAAGACACGAAGTTGTCCCGCGAAGCCTTCAACAGGTTGAAGCGGCAAGTGCTTGTGAGCGAAAACCTGTGAAGGCCGGCACGACAGGACAAGACGCAGATCCCCGTATAGGCTTATGAGACTGTTGGGGCAAGTGCTGTTAGCGATTAGCACCTGTGAATGGGCAGCACGGCACGCGACGGGCTGGGTGGCCAGCTCCACGCTCGACCGCCTTTGTCTCCCCAGTGGCGATGTTTACATACCGCGAACCAGACACATACAAGCACAGACACGCATGGTGGCTTTCATCCAGCCATCCGCACTGCACGAATTATTGATGTTTAAAGGCTGAGTCGACCTAGGTGAGAAGGCTCAGGACTAGTTCAGGTGCAGTCTATCTTGGCCACTGATGTTAGCCGTGGTGGGGGTAGAGCAACAACTCAGTCGGTGACACTGCCGTTTGAACAACTTAAGGGGCCGCCCATAAATGACGTCACGCACCTGGGGGGGGGGTCAGACATTTGTGACGATGTGTGACGAGGGGGGGGGGTTGAGAAATGTGACGTCGCATCAAAATGCGCAACTTTAAATAAATATAGACAACACGTTCTACTTAATTAAATATACTTTTTAATAAATGTTTTCTCCTACAACATCAAAGTGCAGCGCCGCATAAAGTACGCACTGCAATGACAATAGTTTAAAGCGATTTGAAGCATGATTTATTTTTGGGGGGGGCGGGGCAGAGCTTTGTGACGTCATATTTGAGGGGGGGGGTCTTACTTTTAGTGACGCCGTGTGACGAGGGGGGGTCAAAAATCGTCAATAAATCGTCAAGACGTTCGTCAATAGCTCTGCCTTAGAAGGGGGGGGGGGGGCGGATGGGTGGGGGTACAATAGTCGACGTTTCTGGCAACGACCCTCATTTATGGCGCACACCCACACAGATGATGTAGCTCTTCGTGCTTTGTGGAAGAACCAATTCGGAGGCAGATCGCCCGTGACACACGACGCGAACTCACCGCTCCACCCCAGCCATTCTTTATGATAATCGTGCCCATAATTATTTAGCAGGGGAGGAGGAGGAGGGGGGAGGAGGAGGAAGCCGAGACTCGTTCTGCGCTTCCTACAACACAGAGAGAGAGAGCGCCAGCACTCCGGACGTTGTATAGACGTGAGTCGTTCTACGTTGTTCAAGAAGGTTCCGCAGCCGGCTGCTTGAAGACACACCGCACGGAAGTGTCCATACCGAACAGCCGCACCTGGAAGGTAGAGTGGGTGTAGGTTCTAAAGACGATCATGACTCTTGAGCGAAGTTAATCACTTGTAACTCCTCCCCCCCCCCCCCCCAGCAGTCGCTTCGTCCTGCCGGCTTCTGCCGCGCCGAACAAGTTCCAGCCACATCCCCGTACGCGGGGCTCCGTACAGCGGACATCGACAGCACACGACTCGGCGACGACATAACCTCCACCACATTGTCCATAGACACACACACACGAGATACACACACACGAGATAGACACACACGAGAGAGAGACACACGAGAGACACACACACGAGAGACACACACACGAGAGAGAGACAGACACACGAGAGAGACACACACACACGAGAGAGAGAGAGAGACACACACGAGAGAGACACACACACGAGAGAGACACACACACACGAGAGAGAGAGAGAGACACACGAGAGACACACACACGAGAGACACACACGAGAGAGACACACACGAGAGAGAGAGAGAGACACACACACGAGAGACACACACACGAGAGAGACACACGAGAGAGAGAGAGAGACACACACGAGAGAGACACACACGAGAGAGAGAGAGAGACACACACGAGAGAGAGAGAGACACACACACGAGAGACACACACACACACGAGAGACACACACACGAGAGACACACACGAGAGAGACACACACGAGAGAGAGAGAGAGACACACACACGAGAGACACACACACGAGAGAGACACACGAGAGAGAGAGAGAGACACACACGAGAGAGACACACACACGAGAGAGACACACACGAGAGAGAGACATGGAAGATTTGGAGGAGCTGCTGTGCCGGGTCCAGTTCATAGACGACACGGACCCCTTCAACAGCACCAACTTCCCGGAGCCATCGCGGCCCCCAGACGTCCACTTCGCGCTGCACGTGGCCGTGGGCGAGCAGCTGATCGCCATCCACCGCCTCCTGCGCCCGCCGCACGAGGTGAGGAGGCGACGATGCCTGTGGGTGACCATTCTGTTCCGGGGGTGGCAGAAAGTGTGAGTTTAGCACGTCGGCTTTCGCGACTAATATCATCCATCATATAGGGGGGGGCGGGGGGTGGTTCTATCGATCTAAGTCGATCTAGCCCAAACTAACTTTTATTGTGTCAGCAAATGTGTTTCGGGAGTTGGATGCCCCAGGTGTGCTCGCCACGACGAGACGGCTTCAGCTGAGAGACACACAGGGTGCCTCCAGTCTCCAGTCGTGCTGATCCTGCTGCAGTAAACCACTGTAGCAGCACTGACTGCAGTGGTTCACCACAGCTTATGATGCACACACTAACATTGCCCAGAGACTAACATTACCAGAGACTAACATTGCCCAGATACTAACATTGTCCAGATACTAACATTGCCCATTGACTAACATTGCCCAGAAACTAACATTGCCCAGATACTAACATTGCCCAGAGACTAACATTGCCCAGAGACTAACATTGCCCATAGACTAACATTGCCCAGAGGCTAACATTACCCATAGACTAACATTGCCCATAGACTAACATTGCCATAGACTAACATTGCCCAGAGACTAACATTACCATAGACTAACATTGCCCATAGACGAACATTGCCCATAGACGAACGTTGCCCATAGACTAACATTGCCCAGAGACTGACATTGCCCATGGACTAACATTGCCCATAGACTAACATTGCCATAGACTAACATTGCCCAGAGACTAACATTACCATAGACTAACATTGCCCATAGACGAACATTGCCCATAGACTAGCATTGCCCAGAGACTGACATTGCCCATAGACTAACATTGCCCATAGACTAACATTACCATAGACTAACATTACCATAGACTAACATTGCCCATAGACTAACATTGCCCAGAGACTGACATTGCCCATGGACTAACATTGCCCATAGACTAACATTGCCCATAGACTAACATTGCCCAGAGACTGACATTGCCCATAGACTAACATTGCCATAGACTAACATTGCCCAGAGACTAACATTACCATAGACTAACATTGCCCATAGACTAACGTTGCCCATAGACTAGTATTGCCCATAGACGAACATAAACCATAGACTAACATTCCCATAGACTAACATTACCATAGACTAACATTCCCATAGACTAACATTGCCCATGGACTAACATTGCCCATGGACTAACATTGCCCATGGGGGCCGTCCATAAATGACGTCAGGCACCTAGGGGGGGGGGGTCAGACATTTGTGACGCCGTGTGACGAGGGGGGGTCAAATATCGTCAATAAATCGCGTGACGTCATTTATGGACGACCTCATAGACTAACTTTATCCTTTACTACCATTACCCATAGGCGATTCTCTTCTTGCGTATGGCAGCAATATGTCCGGGAGGAGCTCGTTAGATGCCCGAAGGCTGAGGTCAGCGGCTGTCCGCGACGAGAGAGATAGAGAGAGGGCTTCAGCAGAGCGCGAGCGCGTGAGGCTTTCTCGCGTGAGGCTTCCTCAGCACCACACAGACTGCTTCAGGGGTTCACCGCGTGACCCCAAGTCTGGATTAGATGGCCACGTGACCGTGGCTGTGGCTTGGCTTGAATTTTTCCCTTCACGAAGGAGGTGATGAGAATGCAACGTGATAGATTATATTACGCCGCAGAGAATAATACCCCCAGAAGTGTGCCCGGTATATATATATGGTGTGTGTATACCGTCTTTAAATACACAAATCAGCCATGCCATACCTGGTCTAATGCACACTCACCGAGTTATCAGTCGCACCGCCAATTTGTCATGGGGGTTGCGTGACCATACTTCACCGCGCTGGTCATTGCGGATTAGTGAATTGGCGAGGCGTCGATATCACTCGCCACTGGTGATAGCCATGGCCGGGATGCGAACTCTCTTGTCCAGTTCGTGCCCTCACCACCGCTCTATAGATGGCTGCACGTGATACACGGCGACTCCCGCCGTGCACCGTGCCGCAGCCGACTCTGCGTCGTATTTCACGTCGGGCTGCACCGGTGTGTGTGTGTGTGCATCCCCTAGATCGACTCATCCTTAAATCAGTACTGCACTTGGTTCGGGGGATAATAATGCCAGTTCTTTAACCCAGAAAAGCCCCGCTCTGTCGTAATACTTGTTTTCATGAGAGATGTGAATTGGGATGTTTGGCTAGTTCCATTAATGAACGCTTGGTATGTGGGAACATTTGCAAAACATAAACACTTTTAGATAAAGACGTGTGGGGCCTGGTGCTGGCCACATGACCCTCACGCGTGCCCCGCAGGCCCTAAGAGGTGCCCACTGATAGCGCTTACCCCCAAAACGGTGTCTACAAACCTACACGTGGCTTCTTTGGGTGGACATAGGACAGCCGTCGCTTGGTATTCGCTCGAAAGTAATTTCTGAATTGCAATTGCCCCGAAGAGTGGAAGAGTGATAACGCCAGGCTTGTGATCTCTTCTCATTAATTGACTGCCGAGAATGTTAGCTTGGCTCTCTGGGATAACGTCTTTCATGTTTGTTGCATTCACTTCCATAGAACAATTGCCTGAGTTACAAGAATTTTGAGCCCAACCTTGCAGTTTTCTTTATTAAATTCTTGTTTCTCTCTCCATACAATGACATTTACCTAATGAAGTAATTGGGCTTTGGCAGGACACGTCTCAAGAATGGATTGTGGCAAGTGGTCGAGGCTTATGATGAAGTGGCAACCATCGTGAGGTCCGTGAGCGATGGCCTTCATCCAGCAGTGGATAGATGATGGTTGCGGCTGATAATGATCGACATGCCGTTGTTTGAGGAATGTTCTCTAGACAGAATGTACCGTTAGTTACATGCTAGGCCTATCAAAATCCCCTTATCCACATGTCTAGGAGACCTGATAAGATATATGAATACTTGAAATAAAAGCCAGAACAGCATTTGTATTACTCAATGGGCTAGCTACAGGCGCTGATGTAATACTTTTGTGTGGGCTACTCTAAGCAGAGCCACAGCCATATAAATGTGGAATTTCCTCGACTTGCCCAGTTTGATCAAAGGAGGGGTGAGCATTACCGCATGATTGTGTGATCATTTAAACAAGCCGGTTGCCTTTACAGTGAGGACCTTCCATCCGTGACCCATATCTGTAACGTGAGCACATTATTCTATTATTCATCCGATTATCATGAAAAAGGTTGTATGACAACAATAATTATTGAAGGGAATAGGGTAGACCCAGAACCGGTTCTGCGATTAGCCATGGCCAGGAATGAAACTGAGGCTTCCGGGTTAATCGTGCAGAGAGTTACCCACTGTGCCACCGCTCCACGCCCCAGACAGTTGTGAATTGTTTATTCTGAAACGTGGACTTGCACCTCGCCACTGGTGAATGAATAGCTGTGGTGACAACCTGTTCACGCTCCTGGGGAATGCGCCATTTCTATTGGTGCACATAGCGGAGGGTGCCCATTGCAGAGTCCTTTTCTCGCGCATGTCTGAGTGTAAAAATCCTGCGCTGCACTGTTTATCAATGCTGCACAATTTCAAACAATTCCCCAATGCCATTTTATTCAGTATTCCACAAACGAAGAGCACAGTTATTTCATTATCGTGGCAGGTGCAACGCGCAGATGTTGCGAGTGCCTGATCCACTACTAACCGGCCATGTGGCTCAGCAGTAGGTTTGGGGTCAAGGTTTTATTTTGGCACAGGTAAAACCTTTTGGGCAATAAATGCTCAGTCCATCAATCCTGCCAGGGTTGGTAAAATATGTACCACGTTGTGGTGAAATCAACACTATGGTGGCAAAATTTTTACTACCTCGCCGTGTATACAGGAGGTCGTGGGTTCGACACCCACACTTGTATATTTGGAGTTTGCATGTGTTCCCCATTGTCGTGTGGATTTTTCTCCGGGTACTCCGGTTTAAAAAAGAGCTAAATAGCTCGGGGTGGGCCTTAGCCATGGAAATGTGGAATGTTCACCACAGTCTCAGGGCTGTTAAGGAGGAGACGAACACTGGGCCTCATTCCTCATTGGAGCAAGAATCACTTTGACTTTAAACTGGATACACCGTTATGGCGGCGTGGCAGCCAAGTGCAGATTAATGAAAGTAATAAAGTGGCAGAGGACATCCCAGCGAGTCGGCCCACCTGGGGCTTTGTTATTTGCACATCATTGCTGGATCTGTTCAGACTTGCAAGGCATTCTCACTCGATGGATACAACACTACACGAAGCGATTAACATGTGGCCTCTTGTGTCGCCACGTTATTAAAATGCAGTTCCAGAGCAATGCAGTACATTTGTCGTCTTGCTGCTAACTTACAAGTAGAAGTGTACGATAATTGTACCTCCATTTGTGTTAACCGTGATAGGAAATTGTACTGGTTATGTTATACATGAGGTGCCATCCACAGACTATTGAAGCCTATAAGCAAATTGGCCTAGGTTATATCAGAGCACCCGCCTGGGCAGTTTTCAGCAAAATGTATGAATGCTTGTCTTGACAGCTTTGCATTGCCAGCACAATAAATGTGTCCCTTAGGCCTCGGTTGACATGACTACCATTACCGACGGCGTCAGAACCAGGGCCACCGCTGATGTAATACTGTGTGTGTGTGTAAAAGAGAATAGGGTGCAGCAGTGCTGTCACCCACTGCCATACCATCCTCGGAGATGCTTGTATATAGCAAATTTTGCTGATAATGATATTGGTCTACGAAAACCTATCTTTTATCTCATCACTTTATCTCTCATCACATTACCACATCACATTCTCTCTCATCACTTTATCTCATCACAGCAGTGTAGAGTTTCAGATGTGATTCGCGGACGGCGAAAATCGCAGATAGCAAGTTTGTGATTAACGAGGGAACTCCTCCGTGCACAGAGACCATCCCAGTGGACCCTCCCATGTGTTTTTGAAGTGTACCACGTGTTGATCGGCGTGGCTTGCAAAGTTTCGCTGCACGCTCTGCGAGCTTTTTCAAGAACCGATTTCAGGGGCTCTCTCCACCGATCACGTGGCATTGCCAGCTGCTGCTGGAATGCAAGCTACGTGTGACGCTGGCTCTTCTTCCGCTGCTGCCGCAGCAAGAGCATCGCACGAAAACGTTTGCGAGGATGAAGCTGATTGGCATCTATAACGGGTTTACGCCGGCAGCGGCAGCGGGCAGCACTGTTCCTCAAGTTCTTGAAGAAGCTCCCAGCACGTGGAGCGACACATGGGACACCATGCTGAACTAAACGTGCTACAACCTGAAAACACATCGACAGAGCCAGCCGGTTCTACTTGGTGCTCACGTTGAGTGTTTGGCGATTAATGTGGCTTTACATTATCTCCTGGTAAATTTGGATTGCGACCTCTGCTTAAAGAATACTTTGCACACAACGCCTGCAAACCTTCTTGAAGGCAAGACAAAAAGAACCATGTAGTCGATGACGTCGCGTCCGAGCGAATTCCGGGATGCACTGGAGTACCCTGAACTCAAAGTGGGGCTGCCCAGGCTGACAACTGCATTCCAACCCAGAATGCAGTTGTTGTGTGGACAACAACGGACCCGCAACAGCTTGAACCTCCCCCCCCCCCCCGGCACCTGTAGTGGTGCGTGTGGACGCAGCGTAATACTGCCTTGGGGTGTGTGTGTGTGTTTTGCAGCTGGACGACTGTGCCCTGCAGCTTTCGCACTGGTCCATGTACCTGGATCCCGAGTGCACGTTGGCCGAGCAGATTGAGGACCTCGATGGCTTCCAAGAACAAAATGGGTGGGTGCTGCTGCTATTGCTGCTACTGCTGCCGCTGCTTTTACTGCCCTAGCACTCCTCCCCTCGGACTCGCTTCCATACCCGTTGTCCCTCCAGCTCCTCTCCCACTGTGCATTGCCGCCGCCCCTTTTCCCAACCATTGCCCGCTAAGCCCCCCCCCCCCGACCCCACTCTGCATTCCCAGTAGCCACCCACACATCACTTGTGTCCTCCTCATTCCTTGTGCCCTTCAGCTTTTCGTGCCTTCTGCAATGCGCGCACTTGAACCTTCGCTGGCCTTGATCAAAGCGGCTACTTGAGTCCATTGCTTGCCCGGCACATACTTGGAGGCCCCCACTTGTCCAGCCACGCAGAAGAATATCCTACCCTTCGTTTTGTTGTTGCCGGTAGAATATTTACGGATTGCCAAAGCTGGAAAAGAAAAAAAGTGCTAAATGTCATTTTTGATACAGAGTAAATGCGTGCCAGAACACATTCCAGCCACTCAGTGCGAATGTTGAAGGGCTTTTTGTTCATAGGTCTTGCGGGTGAGGTCACAGCCTTGTCGGACTTCCATTTACAAGTACATCGGTTTTGCTGTCTTGTTGTAAAGTTAGCACTTCGTTTTTCATGATATGATGGGATCACAAGGCGATTCCATGCTCAGGTGGTGCTCATTTTCTGTGTACAGCCACGAGCCAGCCAGTGGTGATAGCTCCATGTTGTTATAGGGTGGTAGGGAATGATGAAAGCTCTCCTATCCACAAAATCTTACAACGTTTTTATTGACTCCAGAGGGAAGATGGGCGGCGTCAACCCCTCCTCACCAGGATTTGACCTCGCGACCTTACCGTTTTGAGCGGCTCACTCTGTGGCTGAGCCACCTGATGGGATCACGTTACGGTGCCTGTCCAGTTTTTTTCCCATTACTTGGATTTGCTAAAAACGAGCAGGAGACGTTCGTACCCGGCGCACAAATTACGTGCAGTGCCGAACGAACTCTTCTCTATCATAAATACTCCATGGCACTGAGTAGATAAACTCAAACGCAATTAATTCCCTGCCGCGTTGTGCGCGTGTGTTTATGTGTGTGCAAGAAAACTTGATGGGTTTTGTTTTTTCCCATTACAGTGCCCCTGCACTGGTATTTAAGTGGTTGGAATTTCGAGAAAAAAATGTGGGATTTTTTTTCACTCTGACATTTACAAATCTCTAAATAGATGATGCTAAGTGATCAGTAAAATAAATGTTTTACTATGGGTGAAATATAAATATGCCTGTTTTATCATGCAGTTAAACAAAGATTATTTGACGTGCACCGACTCAAACGGCTTCAGACTTTTGTTTTTATGTCGACTCATCCGATCTTCGTCATGACGGTGAACCGAAATTGAACATGTGTGTCAAGTGAAAGTACTGTCATCCCCTTGCTCTCTCTCTTTCTTTCCTCTGCAGGAAGGTTAAAAAGCACACTGTTATCCTGCGCACCAAGCTGTCAGTCCGTGTGCACGCCTGCATCGGTAAGTGCACAACATTTTGTTTTGCCATTTACTTACAAAAATTGTACAAAAACACGGGGGAATTACTTTGAGAACAAACAACATAATTCGAGAGCACTTTGCTTCTTCCCCAGGTCGTGAGTCCAGGATGATGCTTGAGTGATTTTATTCCTGCGGTCTTTGACTCCTTTGGCGCCGTCAACAACGCAGAGTGGAGTAGTTGGCCATGAGTGCTTGCTCCGTGTTTTTGCTCATTCGCTGTTTCTCCACAAATGGTCAGGAATGTTTTTTACGTCCCTAACTGGGTTATTTTGCGATTGCCGCAAGTGATGTTGGCAGCATCAGCATTTTCCTTTCTTTTTTTTCTTTCACGAGATGCAAGAGAATTCGGCTGACGCAAGGAGTACGCTCGTAGAACTCATTGTTAACGGATAATGAATTTCACACTTTGTTGTTCGCACGCGGGAAACTTTTTGTTCCGTCGTGAACAATTTCTAACGTTTTTAACGCGGAGGAGCAGCGGAAGCAGCAGCAGCAGCGGGAGTTTGGAAACAAGGTTTGTTACGTTAGTAACATCCGTGCCTGGAAATTAAGAAACTGCTCGTATGAAAATAGCCTGTGACTAAATCAACTGCAGTGCGCCCGATTTTGCCAGATCTTGGAAGCTAAGCAGGGCTTGGACCTGGATAGTGCTCGGATGGGTGACCACCACCACCATGCATGCGAAGTTGTCACAGGCGGTGGGGGGGCCGTGCTACGTAGTTGCAAGTAGAGAGGGCAGCGCAGGCAAATGCCACGTTTGAACGGTGCTTCTATGCTGCCTGCCTTCACTAACGCTCACTAGCCAGTGTGGTGAAGTACAGTCCACGTCAAACAACCCCCATGACCTTACACGGCAGAGGTAGGCCCTCGTCCCGTGGCGGATTGACGAAAGGGCTGTCACGTGTACACGGGATGAAAGTCGCCCGCAGCGTCTTTTGTTTGGGTGAACTGCGGCCCACCTTTTACGGCTCTCTCAAGCTGTAACAGGAAACGTGGGTTGGGCCCCATTGATGGCTGTCCACCACGATAACAACGCAAGCGAAACCGCAGGCGAGGGCTGGACACTGCAAGCTGCCGCTGCATGAGACACAGTGAACCCGCATGCAGATGTCTGATCAGGCGGCTGAAGAGGCACCAGTTTTTTCGTAATGTGTTGAGCTTTTTTGGCTTTTAGTTTACATACGTAGCGTTGCCGTGTAAAGCGGCGTACGTTCTAGAAACGTTGGGAGAGGTTTGTTCAACGCAAAGTTAGCCCCTGATATTTTGAATGCCTCAGAGTTTGCATTGTTGGCCGAGCGCGGCGATAACAAAAGAAACCATAACCAAAATGGAAAGCGGGTTATTTTTTCAGCCCTGAACTCAAGTTTCATTCATGCCCAACAGTGCTGTGATTCAGACCTATGGGGGGCCAACCTTATTTATTTAACATACACTTTATACGAGTAATAAAATAATAAATAAACAAACAACCGTTTGTTGTTTCATTTTAATAAATATCATACTTTAGCCCCAGCAGCCTCTGGGCCTCTCCTGTCACGTCTCTGCCTGTGAAGACACGCTGCACTCTGCGGTATTGGCATATTACCCAGAACATTAGCTGTCACGTTCTTTGGGTCTTTCGGTAAAGCCACGTAGATAGAAAAAAATAATCAAAATAATAACAATATCACAACGTTTCGATCGCAACACAAGCAATCGTCTTCAGGTGAAAAAAGAGCTATGAATTCCTGCAGTCACGAAAGTCACCTTCATCATCACGAGCCAAGTTCTACCCACTGTTGGATGAACGCCTCGCCAAACCGTCACCATTTCTCATGGCTGTACAATGCAGCGACCCATCTTGCCCCTCTGCTCACCAGCTGGTTTCATCACTCCCATTCCCACGGTGGATCTTTAGTCTCGACCCCGGCTATCGTCTCCTCTCTAAACTAACGATCTCGCGACGTGTCCTGCTCAAGCCCGCCTCCGATGAGCACGGTTGGCTACGTACGGTGCGAAATAAGTTCCACATACATCCTACATACTTTAAATAATAAAGGCATCGTTGGATCTGAAAGTTTTACCCTCCCCAAGAAGCAATGTAATGCTTATAAATAAACCAAACAAAAGTCAATGTAGGCCCTCCAGACAGTGCTGTGCAGGGGGATTTATATAGGAGGCAAACCCTGGAGTGGTTTTGATTTCCTGAGCCTCATCAGCAGTGTCAGATCTGTATATTTGTACACGTGTATAATACATACATATATATCCTCAGGCAGAATTTGAAGTTAAGGAGCGCTTTAATGTGATGGTAGTGTAATTCGGGATGTTACATTTAGTAATGTCCACCAATTTCTATTAACTCTTTAACTTACGCATTTCATGTTGTGTCATGCCAAGAGCAAGGTGATCGCAATACGGTAGATTGTCCGTACACGATGCAACTGTGTCTTCTGCGGTTTAGGCACAGAGAGCAGAGGTAGATCAACTGGTCCTTGCCGAGCTCACTGATGAGCATGGGGAAATATGGTCGAACAACTTCTGACCAAAAGTTAAGGGGCGGCCTTCTTTCAGCAGTCGATTGATAGAGGTCTGTAAAGTATTGTTATTTATTGTTATATTGCTTGTGTGCATTAAGCTCCGACCTAGTCTTACAACTATAGTTCTGTTTAAATAACATTGAAATCGGGCATTCGAAATTATTGTTTTGTTAAATCAGAATAAAGATAAAATGATAGCATTTAAATATCCATCGTTACATTGCAATGTCTTGATTTTATTTCATAAGGGTCATGTCATTTGTTGTTCTGCCCAGCGCCACTGAAGAATTGGTGAAATTCGATCAGAGGGCTCTGCTTTGTGGTAGTAAATGACCGCTTTAGCCAAACTGAGCCAGCATGTGAAACGAGAGAGATGCCAGCATCCCTCCAAAAGGGAGGCGGATGCTTGCATTTTGCAGCATTCTTTTTGTTTTGCTTAGACCCCCAGCATTTTCGCACAAAGATCCAGTTCAACTCGATTTTTTTCAGACGCTGCCACGCCATACTTGTTAGACCACTGGACTAGCAATCCAGAAGTTTCCGGTTCGACTCCGTTTCCCTTGAAACGATGGCGCAAGTGTATTAACTCTCCCACCCAGCCACCCACCCACCCATACCATAGGCCTCCATCTGGTGAAGGCCCTTTGACCAGCAGTGGCAGGGCTACGTCTTTACCTTTTTTAAGTACTCGCCCAAACACCTCTTCATTGGCAAGGATACGACGGGGCGTATTCCTTTGAACATAAGAAGAAAAGCAATTGTGATTCCATTGCTGTGTGTTAAAAAAGAAAACCCCCCTCAGGGAATCCAGGCTGCAGCAGCCTATTGGGAGATTGGCTGTATTTATGCCTTTGATTTAACGAGAACCTTCGCTTTTGGCGCAGGCTTGTGAGAAAATGTAATTGAAAGCACCTGGCCTGTAATTACTGCTGCCGTTTAAAAGAGTTCCATGCGGGCACCGGGGCTGGAGAAGAGAGGGCCACTGGGCTGTCCACACACTGAGTTGTAATTTGTGTTGTTATTTTTTTATTTCTCGTACAACGTTTCATTAATGCATGGCTTTTAATGGGCAAAACAATACTCCTAAAGAAATTACTCTCTACCAAACATTTTTTTCAAAGCCACAGCAATACATGTACCATTTATGTTGGCTACTGGCTATGCAACAATTAATCGTCCCCCAGACCCCCACCCTGGAGATGTGATGAATTGTCATCATTCGGAGGCCTCGTTCAACTTGTTTTACTCCTGTTTGCCTTGTTTATGTTTTTCTGCCTCTTTTAGAGTTTTGTATAAATTAAATATCAGCAACATTGACATGTAATGTTCATACTATTTGCATAATCAATTTTCACACACTAATGGCCTAGTAATATAATGCAGTAGAATATTTTCCCAATGATTCATGAATGCAACTTTATATAGTGGTGGAACGATGCATATATTCATCATTGGGTATTGATTATTAATCTCATTATACCTGCATAGCATCCCAACTGTGTAAGAGTCGATGTTGCTTACACCCCGTGGATGTTGCTTACACCCCGTGTACGTTGCACCAAATGGATTCATGCCACCTCTGCAGCCACTGGAGGTGCTACCAGTAGCTGCAATATTACAAAAATAATCATTGAATCTGGCATCAAATCGTGACTGAAGCTGGACATTCAATTGACACGCCGGAGTTGGGCGGAGTGCGGGAGGGTAGTTAATTGTGTCGGACAACTCACAGAAATGTGTAAAATGTAATTTATTCAAATCAAATTGAACAAATGTGACATTAATTCTTCCACTCCTGGTTACATGCATATTGGCACCAAAACAAACACTGTATTCCAAATCAAATCGCTGGAATGAAACCAGGTGAAAACATTGTCGACAATTACCGTGTTGTAGCTAAAGCCCTGCAAACAGCAGCCGTGGGTATATGCGAGTTGTTGGTCTTGCCAAACAAACGCTGTTGAAGACTTGTCTGGCTGGTTTAGCTCGTCTGGTTGTATGCCAGCCATGCAGCCACATTGCAGGTCACTTTGTTGTTACTGAACAACAGTGGTGGAATTTGTGCTCGGGGTGGGTGGTTTCTGTTCAGCTGACGAGGAGCAGCACATTTGCACGAGCTAGAAAGAGACGCTTGCCAAATCCACGGCGGACTTAGAGGCTGCGAAGGCACTAACACCGCATTTGCACGGAAAGACCTCGACGATATTGGCAGTTTATTAAAACATTGTTGTTCTGTGGTCTTGCCCACCTTCACCAACTCCTCACTTGGCCGACGTGCTGAAGTTTGGGGAAATATCTCCCTCATGGCCCTCGTGCGTCCAGCGTCAGATTGACAGAATCAGGCTGGATAATGGGGGTATTCATTAAACGTATTCATATGAACATGTATTGTGAGTACATAGATCCAAAAATACAAGCTTACACAGGAAAATACAATCTTACAATTATGCGCGGCACTGT